TTCGGTTAGGAAAAGCTGGTCGAAGTCGTTGACGAGGCATTCGTCCAACAGTGCGAGGTTCTGCTATGAACCCTTGTGACCATCCCCATGGTGGTGGAGAACAAAAGGCCGGAATTGGGCGACCTTCGCCACTTAGTCCATGAGGAAAAAAAACCTTAGGGAAAAAAACGCGGAAAAAGAATAAATTATCTAATAAATATATTGTCCAACGTCGAAAAAAATAAAAGACTGATAAAGGCAGAGTCAGCAATAAGTAAAAATAGTAGTTACTGACTGATTAATTTAAGAAGTTAACTAGGCAGTCGAAAAAGGTTGCAATGCCATTATTTTCTTTCCAATTTATAATTTTACATTTCAACATTACTCTATCCTAAAATTAATAATATATAAGTAAAATATGTCACGCTCGTTAAAAAAAGAACCATTTGTTGATGAAAAGTTAAGGAAAAAAATTGAAAAATTACGAAGCCAAATTGCCGAGTTGGAAAAACAAGGAGGTAAAGAAGAAGAAATTGCCAAAATCCTTTTCACTCCCATTAAAGTTTGGTGTCGCGATTCCACTATTTTCCCCGAAATGATTGGTTTTACTGTTATGATTCATAAGGGTAAAGGATTTATTAAGCATTTAATTACTGAGGACATGACTAATAAGAAACTCGGAGAATTTGCCTTTACTCGTAGTTCTGGGCAACACGGTAAAGCCGGAACCCGCTAAAATATTATAATATTAATAAATAACAAACTAAAATCATTATGTCAAATAATAATAACAAAAAGGCACTAGCCGAAAAATTAAAAAAACGTTTGAACTCCCCAGAATATGTGGCAGTTCCAGATTTAATTAGGAGTGGTGATTATGGAGCAGATATAGATTTTTACGGAAGGAATTTTGTTCAGCAAAGAAGAAGAACTTTCATTGATATGATAGATGAGCCTTTTATTTACCAAGACCAATTAGAGTCGAATGATTGAACCGAAATAATTAATTTGATTAAGAAGCGAAACGAGGAAAGAGAACAAAATTATCAAGCCAAGATAAAGAAAATTGAAGACAAAGTAAATAGTATTCCGAATTTATACTACTATTATGGAAGTTTAAGTAAAGATAACCCCAGCAATAGTTCCTTTAGTTATGGAGACAAAAAAGGGAGATATTTCGGTCTGTGAGGTAGCGAAAATGGCCGGAGTTTTTATTTAGACATTAATGCCAAACATCCAGTTTTAGATACTTTTCCTTTTGAAAAACACGGATATTATTTAATTGAGACTGACAAACCAATTGAAAGAAATGATGGGATAATTCGTCCATGAAGTGATTATGGAGAAAACAATCCAAGTAATTTTCACAAATGGGTAGAAGTGGGCGACCGAATTACGATTACCCCTTATGAAACGTCTGATAAACCAGTCAAAAAGCCCGACCAAAAGGAAAAATGTGCTACCTGTGGTTATGAGATTATTTGAACGGACCGGATGGGCTGAATTGAAGTCGACGGAAAAGTTTATCATTCTGGTTGCGATAGACTTGATAATGAAGACAATAACTCTAACCAACCGGTTAAAAAAATATCTCAAGAAGAGGAAAAGAAGGCTATTAAACGGCTAATTCAATACTTTAAAACCCACAGTATCAAAAAAATCAAACTAGTAAATGGAGAGTTAGTAATAACTCATAATAATAATAATAATAATAATAATAATAATAATGAAAACATATCTACCCAAGAAGTAGATAACCAACAAGAACTACAACTAGCCAAGAATATTTCTCAAAAAAACAACCAGCAAGAATTAACTATGGAAGCATTAGAAAAAATGGTTAATTCAAGTTCTAATTCTTCCTCAACTACTCCTAATAATAACTCTCTCTGAATAGGAATTGGTATTGGAGGAGGAATAGTCTTAACTTTAGGAATAGTAGTCTGACTAATTAACCAAAAGAATAAAATAAGTAAAAATAAATAATATATGTTGCAGAATGAATCGATTTTACAAGTGGCTGACAATTCGGGTGCGAAAGAGATATTAGTAATTCGCTGTTTGGGTGGTTCTAACCGTCGTTATAGTCGGATTGGCGATTTAGTGATTGCTACTGTGAAAAAGTCCGAACCAAATAAGTTTGTGAAAAAAGAAGAAAGAATAGTAAAGGCCTTAGTGATTGCTACTCGTCGGTATTTCCACCGTCAAAATAATACTTGAATAAGGTTTAGTAAAAATTACGCTGTTTTGGTGAAAGAAGATGGCAAAGAGCCCAGAGGAACTCGTATGTTTGTTCCTTTATTAACTGAATTCGACCAGTGAGGTTATAAAAAATTATTTTCCTTAGCACCAGAAGTTTTATAAAAAATATGACAAGAACCAAATTAAAAACTGGCGACAAAGTAAAAGTTATTGTTGGCAAACATCGAGGGACAATTGATTTTATTTCCCGGCTTGACCCTAAAGAACAGGTAGTTTATTTGAAAAAAGTCAATCGGAAAAAATATGACAAGTCAACTCCGGACAGTAAGAAAAAAAGTGAATTAAAAGAAATTATGACCCCACTTCATATTTCAAATGTGGCTTACTGATTAGAGGATAAAAAAAAAACTACTAAAATT